GAACGTCTTCTGCTGTCTGTTCTGCCGAGACACGTGGCTATGGAAATGAAATCTGACATCGCGGTCATCCCGAAGGACACCATGTTCCATAAGATCTACATCCAGAGACACGATAATGTCAGGTAGGTGTTCGCAGGAAGGGAAGGGAAAAGGGGTAGGGGTAAGAAGGGGTTGGGGGGAAGGGAAGGGAACGGGTTGGTGGGGGGGGGGGGGGAAGGGAAGGGAACGGGTTGGTGGGGGGGAAGGGAAGGGAACGGGTTGGTGGGGGGGAAGGGAAGGGGTGGTGGGGGGGGAGGGAAGGGAGTAGGAGAAGGGAAAGGGGAAATGGAGGGAAGGGAAGGGAAGGGGTGGGGGGGAGGGATGGGGTGGGGGAAGAATGAGTAAGGGAGCGGGTGGGAGTGGGAAGGAAAGGGGTAGGGGTGGGGAGGGAAGGGGAGGGGGAGTGGGAGTGGGAAGGGAAGAGATAGGGAAAGGGAAGGAGTAGGGAAGAGAAGGGGTGAGTGAGAGGGAAGGGAGTGGAAGTGATGCTGGAAAGGGAGTGGGAGTGAAAACTTGGGAATGGGAATGTAGGGAGTGGGGGCGGGAGTGGGAATGGGAATGAGAGGGGGAGTTGGAGTGAGAGTGAAACTGCGAGTACGAGCACGAGTGGCCATAGAGATAGAAGTAGGAATAGCTTTAATATTGAGCGTAATAGTAAAAGTGGGAGTAGGAGAGGTAGCGGGAATGGAGTGGATAGAGAGAGAAAAAGAGAGAGAGAAAAAAATAATGCTTTGAAATAGTATAGGAAAGATAGAGATAGAAAGGAAAAAAAGAATAATGCTTAGACATAGCATAAGAAAGAGAGAGAAAGAAAGAAAGAAAAAAAAGAAAAAAGAATAATTCTCTGATATAGGATAGGAAAGATAGAAAGAGAAAGAGAGAGAGAAAAAAAGTGCGCTTTAACATGATATAGGAAGAGAGAGAGAAAAGAGAGAGAGAGAAAAAATTGACATAGTATAAGAAAGAGAGAATGAAAAAGATTTTTTTTTTACATAGTACAGGAAAGACAGAGAGAAAGGGAGAGAAAAAGGAATGATGCTTTGACATAGGAAAGACAGAGGAAGGAAAGAATAGAAAAAGATAGAGTGAAAGAGAAAGAGAGAGAAAAAAATCTTGGGTTATGGAAGTCCTGTTTCGTTATCACGGTTACTAGTATATTATCATTATTACAATTACTATTTTATTATCATTATTATTATAGCTACTATTACTATTATTATCATTATCATTATGACAACTATTATTATTATCATTATTATTATGACTGCTACTATTATTATTATCATTATAATTTTCAATATTATCATGATCATTAACGATAAAGAAAAGGGGAAATGGAGAAATAAGGAAGAAATTTAGTTTTGGAAATGAGGGGGAAGATAGGGAGAAAGATAGGGAGGGAAGACAGATGGAGGGAGGAGGGAGGAGGTAGGAGGAAGGAGAGAAGAGGGAGGAGAGAGAAAGGAGGTGGGAGGAGGGATGAGGAAAGAGCGAGAAGAGAGGAGAGATAAGGGAGGAGGTAGGAGGGAGAAAAAAGGAGAGAGAAGGGAGGAGGGAGGAGAGAGAAGGAAGGAGAGAGAAGGGAGGAGGGAGAAGGGAGAAGAAAGGAGAGAGAAGGGAGGAGGGAGGAGGAAGAAGAAAGGAGAAAGAAGAAAGGAGAGAGGAGAGAGGAGAGAGAAGGGAGGAGGGGAGGAGAGAGAGAGGAGGAGGGAGGAGAGAGAAGGGAGGAGGGAAGAGGAAGAAGAGAGGAGAGAGAAGAAAGGAGAAAGAAGAAAGGAGAGAGGAGAGAGAAGAGAAAAGGGAGGAGGGGAGGAGAGAGAAGGGAGGAGGGAGGAGAAAGAAGGAAGGAGAGAGAAGGGAGGAGGAAGGAGAGATGAGGAAGGAGGAAGGAGAGATGAGGAAGGAGGAAGGAGAGAGAAGGGAGGAGGAAGGAGAGAGAAGGGAGGAAGGAAGGAGAGAGAATGATTAGTCATTCATCATTATTCTTCATGATACTATTAGTTTGTGACTGACATTCGAAGTAAACCTGGTCGAGCACGTGTTGACGATGAGGAGCAGAGACAAAGTGACAATACCACTAGGGAACACTTTGAGGTAGTACAGGTCTATGTTGTTGGGGGGAAGGGAGTGAAGAGGAAGTAATAGGAGTTATTCTGCAGATGGAGAGAGCTTTGAAGATTTTGGAGAAAGGATGGGTGGGATTGGGCCGAAGAGGGACTGAGGGAGGTTGACTAGGGCAGGGAGGAGGGATCGGGAGGTATAGGATAGATGGGGTAAAAGTAGGAAAGAGGGGATAGGATGGCGTAGGGAAGCGCGCAGTATTTCGTCTTTATTGGTGTTTCTCGTTCGGTATTGTTAATCCTTTTTGCTGTTATTCTTTGACTTTATTGATGACCTCTCCTGTCTCGTATGTACGTAGTTCGGACTTATTAGGTAATTCACGATTTTCTTATTATGGAATCGTACTAGTTCTGGCGTTCGTTCTCTCGTAGTGAGCAGTCTGTATGTATTTCTATTTACTGGCTTCATTGACTTCCTACCATGCATTAGGCACATGGAAAAAAAACCGCCTCACGAATGACTAAAACAATACCCACCCAATAAAAAGCTGTCAGGCTCTTTAATCAACGTATCCATCTCGCTCCAACACCATCTTCGAACTCCATCCACTTATCCTCTGACGTGCCTCCTTCTTGCCTTGATCTTTGTCGCATTAACTACCCTTTGTGCTCCAGAGAACCCCTTTCTATTTGTACACGGAGAGTCACAGACGTCCCGTTTCAAGTTAGTGTTCTAGCTCTAGCTCTAAGTCTGGCTCTGGCTCTAGGTATGGGTCTAGGCCTGGGTCTGGCTCTAGGTTTAGGTCTGGCTCTAGGTCTAGGTCTGGCTTTGGGTCTGGTTTAGGTCTAGGTCTGGCTCTGGCTCTAGGTCTGGCTCTAGGTCTAGGTCTAGGTCTTGGCCTGGGTCTGGCTCTGGCTCTAGGTCTGATTTTGGCTCTAGATCTAGGTCTGGCTCTAGGTCTGGTTCTGGTTCTAGGTCTAGGTGTGGCTCTAGGTCTGGTTCTGGCTCTAGCTCTAGCCCTAGGTCTGACTCTGGCTCAAGGCCTAGTTCTGGGTCTAGCACTAGCTCCAGCGGGTGGTATTCAAAGACGAGGATTAAGGATTGGGCCTTTGATATGATTAAGGACCTATTACGCTATCGCTTTGTTCTGCCCCGGACGTGTCTTTGTGTATATGTGCGTGTGTTTGTTTCGTTTATGACTCTAAGACTCGTTCTCTGATTATTTATTTATTTATCTGTCTTGTTCTCTCTCTCTGTTTATGTCTGATTCTCTCTCTCTCTCTGCGTCTATCTGATTCTCTCTCTCTCTCTCTCTCTCTCTCTCTCTCTCTCTCTCTCTCTCTCTCTCTCTCTCTCTCTCTCTCTCTCTCTCTCTCTCTCTCTCTCTCTCTCTCTCTCATTTCCACGGTCTCTTCATTTTTTTCCCTTGCAAAGTATCCATACAGTTATTTCTCTCTAATGACAGCACAACATCGCATTGTATAACGTATTAATCCAACCTTAAACACAAAGTGCCTGTCTCTAACACAGTTCGGGGCAGCGAAGAGCAATGACAAACGCGTTCCTAACACAAATGAATTCAATTTGCTAAACGGAATGTTCTCGCAAATATTTCACCAGTCTTTTCTTGGCGATTCTTCCGGCAAATGCGAGGTCATTCGATAGCCTTGCAAAAGCCTCCGTTCCGCTGTTAAGACAAAGGAAATTGGGAGAAAATTTTATTCGTATATACTTTTTTTTTTTAGAGAGAGAATGGGGGGGGGGGGGGGGATTTACGACTATTTGCTTGTGAACTTAAATCAGTTTTTTGGGGAAAAACTTCGATCGACCAGGAAGTGATAAGAGTATTTTTTTTTTTTTTTCATGAAGTATCTGTGGCTTTGAACTTTTGTTTTTATCTTTTGGTTTCCGGTTAGATTGCTTTATTGTTTTTCTCTTTACATTGCAATTTTTCGATTGCTGTTCGGCGGTACAGAGCTTTGGCCTTGATTCCCTCTGCAGTCAGTTCAAGGGAAGATAAACAAGAACAGGGTTACATTACGAGACGAAACGTACTGGTGTAAAAATAAGACTTACAGCTAGTCAAAATGTTGATTATATATATATGTACACATATATATATATATATATATATATATATATATATATATATATATATATATATATATATATATATATATGTATATATATGTATATATATATATATATATATATATATATATATATATATATATATATATATATATATATATATATATATATATATGTATATATATATATATATATATATATATATATATATATATATATATATATATATATATATATATATATATATATATATATATCAAAAGCATATGACATTTTAAACATGACTAAATCATAATGAAAAATAGTACGCTCGATTTTGGTCCGTTTAAGATCTATTCCGCAAGATCTGTATCGTGCCAAAGTCATCTCTCTTTAACAGAGAAATTGTGTACAGCTTTGCATCCCTTAGCAATTTTTTATTTCCCCGCTATAGGTACACGCGCATATGAATCTATTTACGGAATCTACTCTCTAGCCATATATATATATATACGGTATATATAATGGAAGAGGCAAAAAATCATTTTCACAAGACTTTTTTTCCGCCCCTGTTACTCGACGCTCTCTCCCTCGGTTCACCTTCTCAAGAACACCTGCACGCACAGCTTCCCCCCTAATGCACCTGTTGTCGCGAGCCTCTGACCAGATGCGAGAGGAGACGAGCGAAGAATGGGAGGTTGCCTGCCGTCCTCGCCGCCTCTGGGAAGCTGCTGTTTAGTCCCTGCGCTTGGCTGGCTCTCTCGCGTTAGGCCGGAGTTCGGTTGTCATTTTTGTTTTGTTTTGACTTTTGTTCTGTAGCTTTGTTTGAG